CTGCAGAATTTTTCATACACCTACGTGCTTAGCTATATTTAGCTATGAAAAGGTGAATTTATTAGCTTCTCACGATGAAAATTTCTCAATTGAGATTCATTCTCGAAATTGAATTTAGATTCAACAAAAAGCTCGAGTTTGAGATTCCTAAGAAGCTGATCGTATTGTGCTATTGTAAGTGAAAGTTATTGTGTTGCTGAATTTGAACTTTATGGATTCTTTACGGTTCAAATAAAGTTTTTGGTGAGAATTTTATATTTTGAATCTTTAATTTTTTCCACGAATTTGATTAACATTTTGATTTCAGTGGCATTAACTTTAAACATAAATCCAAGGCGTGGAAACTCAGGATTAATCCTGAAAAATCCCAAAAATCATAAAAAATCCCTGAGCCAGTAAAAATGGAAAAGTGAAATCCCTTTTAAATTCCTGATGCATTTGATGAATAACTTCGGGATTTAAAAGGGATTTCACATTTCCATGTTTATTGGCTCAGGGATTTTTTGTAGGATTTTTGGGATTTTTCAGGATTAATCCTGAGTTTCCACGCCTTGCACATAAATCTCATTTTCTCATCATGATCTAAATAAGTTGTGTCTTAACAATAAGCAGTGCCGTCAGGGGCCGTTCACTTAGGACGTCCGGGGGGGGGGGGGGGGTTAACAAGAAAATAACAATAGAAATTCCAGGAAATCCATTGTTCGTTTAAGTAAACGACCCCTCACTAGAAAGTGAGGATTTTGGATTCTAAAATTTTTGATTCTGATTAATTTTGAAATATTTAATTTTCAGATTTTTTACCATTAATCCTGAGTTTCCACAACTTGCTAATTAGAACCTACTGTTTAATTAAGTTTAAATGAAAAACATCGATTTCTTAAGAAACGGCAGAATTGTCTCAAGCAACTAAAGCTCAAAATAAAACAAGAAAAAAACATTTGTTAAACCTTGAAACTTTTCCTTTTGTTTATCGCCTCACTTCTAATATTTCCATCGGTGCTCTCATTTTTGGTACAGATAAGTGCCTAACCTTAAGCTATTTCTGTTTTAGATCAGCACAACTTTTACTACAGCGGTAGCGTAGTAAACGAGTAGCAACTAGGATTGAAAACCTCATTTTTTTACATCACTTACCAAGCTACTGTATCATAAGAATGATGTTAAACTTAATAAATTGAAATTCCTCGAATTCAAGGTTAAAAATAAGTTCAGGCTTCAGAAAAAAGAAAGTAACTTCATAATTCATTGAACGAATCAAATTAAAAATCTATGAGACTCAATTCGATATTAGTCATGCTTCAATGAAGTCTAAACAGAAGCAGAACAAAGCCTACTCGAAATCATATACATATACATTGAACACTTCTGCATTTATTATCCTTAACTTCCCACATCTTGTCTGCCATTTACTTCGAATGCGAATTTATGAAAAGAACCTTGTTTACGTGCTCTACTTATTGTTTCCAATTCTTATGCCTTTTTTATATCCATATCAATGCTTTAATAATATTGAATGCATAGCCCATTGATTGTATGATTTCATGTGGGCAATTAAAATCAATCAATATTGTGTACATACATGGCATGAATGTGATCAACATTGATTGAATTCCACTATCTTATATATTCTGAATATTAAAAAAAAAAGAGTCGAGTGAGTGCAATGGAGAGAGTGGATTCGACTAGATTGAAATGAAAATCAGGATTGAGCATGCAATCAAATACATACGTATGAATGGATATGGTTATATGTTGCTGAATATCCAATTTGTATTCATGAAACTAGAAAATTTTCTATCAATCAATTTATGATTGAAAAAAGAACTAAAATCAAAATAAATGAACCGAAATTGTATTTAAGTTTCTAATTAAAAAAAATTTTGAATCTCTTTTTTTGTCGTTCGTTCAGTTTCCCATCCGAGAGGGTGTACAAACAGCATCAGCAGTTGCAAAAGCATCAAAAGGAAAATTCATTTTCCAGATAGAAAATTTTCCAATTTGATTTCTAATTAAATTCAAATATCAAGTAGCACAAAGAAGGAGATGGAATGGAATGAGATTATCCTTGTCGTGATTTTGTTCCAGATTTAGTTGAGTGCTATTCTAAGTGATTAGGTGAATTGACATAAAATTTGTGATTAGCAGATTTGGTATCGTGTCGCATATGCGGGGATACAAAAAGATTCAAACTAATCAAGAACTATTGTGATGCTTATGGCCTCTTGTTTTCTTAGAGAGAGAGAGGTATTTCTAGGCAACAGCAATTGAAAATACAATGATGTGATACTACGGATTCATTTCGTCAATTTGAAACAATTTGATCAATTGCGATCCAATGGGGGGGGGGGATTTGGGTGACAAATCCCCCGACGTTAACAGAGTTTTTTTCATTTTGCTAGAAGTTTTATGAAAAAATCATAAAAATCCCCCCCTTCCCTCTGAATTTTCCATATAAAATTTTTTTTTGTCCCCCCTTCTTCAAATTCCTGGCTACGTCCCTGACGAAAGAGGATGCACCAAACTGCTGCACTCAAACCTAGACCTACAATTTATATTAGGATCCGAACCACTTCTTTGATGACATTTCTGACTGTAGCCTACATATGATTCGAAAAAGGACAAGTAAAAAATTTCCAAAACCCAGTCTTAAACCAGTAATGACCTTCATGATAATAATAATGTGAAAAGGTTCCAGTCAAGCGAGGTATTACTACATGTTGGCACAAGCTCGGGGCACTGCGATCCTGATCGATGATACCCCATGACCCTGTGACGGTATTGCAATAATTAGGGACCAAAGTACTACACCATTCTAATAAACAGGACTGTTCCGACAATAATGGCACAGCCCATTCTAGATCCAATCCAATTTTCTATCCTCTAGATTTCGACTACAAACCTAGTCACAGGTTCATAAGATGCAGTCTGATTTTCAAATCTTTTAAAATTCAATAAAGGAAATATAAGCAGAATCAAGTTAAAGCTTAGTTGTATTCAGAAATGAAGGCAGCTGTGGTAAAATCAAAAATATTAAATCTAAGAATTAAATAAACCTACTTAAAAAATTATCAAAATTCTAATAAAATCATAATAAAATTTAAATCTCTAAATGCTTTGCATAAATCCGTAATTCTTCAAAGTATTTAAGCTTAGAGATAACAATCTGTACAATTTTCCACCTAAGGATATTAGGGCAGAGATGCAAATGTGTCGCATCTAAGCTTAATATTATCATAAGCAGCATTAAAATTGTTTAATTAATTCAACAGTATTTCTTCTTTTTATCGGATCAGAATCATTTTCTATCTGCATCTCTCTTCCACACAGATTTTTATTTTTGTATTTTTTTGTTTTTTGTGTATACACATTTATGCCTTTGAACATTGGCGAATGGTTTATGAAAAGTTTTAATTGGATTTTTTTGCTCTTTCTTCTCATTTTCCTTTCTTTTTCATTCTGAGGTTGGACTTTTCCTCAAATTGAGATTGGAAATAAGTTCATCACACCAAAAACAAAATAAGTGAGTCTGTATAAATTTTTTGTTATTTTGATTCATCAGAAAGGGAATTGAATTTATGGTCAATATTGAACAATAAAATCAAGTGTATTGAGAGAATTTTTTTTTACTATTATTAAGAATCAGGAAATTATTCTGTGGATATTGTGTATTTATTGATTGCCTGACGATAGAAAGTCGAAAGGTGATGTTGAAAATTTTTTAAAGCTTCCGATGGAGTGCTTATGAGTTAAAAAGGTAGAATTTCTCACAACTTTGAAGTGCTGATGGATTATTGTAGTTTTGTATGGTTACAAGTTTTAATTCGAATTTTTTTTTAAAAGGTTTCAACTAATCTGAAAAGAGCTTTCTGGTTTGGAGTTGTTCACTTATGACGTCCAACATTTAAGGGGGGAGGGGTGGTCAAAAAATTTGATATTGTGATAGGGTAGGGAGGGGGTTCAAGAAATTTCTATTATTATCTTTCAATTTTTAAATCAGGAAATAATTTTTTTGTGTCTTGGGTTACACGACACACGAGGGGGGGGGGGGGGGGGTATTGACATCTGTGACAGTTTTGTGACAGATGAGGGAAGAAGTCTAAAATTAGATTTTTGATGGACGTCATAAAAGAACGGCCCCTCTGCAGCATTCATGCCAGCATTCAAGATTTACAGCATTGCATGTGGAGAGCTGTAGTTAATAGATATTGTCATGGTAATTTGCAATATGTAATAAGTTTGTGGGTCTTTTATAAATAAACATTATGTAGTACAAGCTGAGTTTAAAGGGAATCGAACCAAGTCTTTGAATCGTAGTTCTCTGATTTCTTTAGAAGCTAACAAGAAATGCTTAACAGACAAATGAGTATATTGACTTGTATGTTAGGGAATTAAATAAATTAGACGTTAAAATAAACACATTCAACCAATTTATTCATGCTTAAGCCTTTTTAAACATTTAGATATGACGAGCTTTGTTCTTTCTTACAAATTAAAGTTCGATTCTAATTGATTTTTGTAGTCTATGGCTTCGGTCTAGCCATTTTATGAGTATGTAATATTTTCTAGTTGCTCATATTAAAATAGCCCGTGGTTTAATTAGGATTAAGGCTTCAAGGCTATTAAATTTGCAACTTTTTTGTGTAGAATTTAATTTCAGTAACTTTAACAGTTCACATACAGTGGCTTGGATATTTTTCTAAAGATGAATGACTTTCAGTTTATAAATTTTGATATGTGCAATAGAAAATATGAGAAATGATCATGACAGGACAATATTCAATTCCTTTTTATTGCTGCAAATTCATTTCTATTAAATGAACAAACCCAAACCTTTAATTGAGCATTAAATAAAAGCAAATGACCAACCAGATGTATCTACACCTGAAATATTTATAACATTTTCTTTCACAAAACCATCCTATTCATAAAAGCTCTCACATTTCAACAAATTATCAATAAATCTTCATGAAAAGAAACCATGAAATATCATTTATACTCACCACCTCTCACTTCACATGTTAAAACAAGATTATTGTCTTCCAATAATGGTCCGACTGAGCCGGCAACATCTCTCCCAGATGCATCATAGACAAGTATTTGATGGGGAGGAACTAGATTAAATGAAAGAGAAAGAAAAAGAAAAAAAAATATTATAAGAAAAATTGCATACGTAGGATTTCAGACCGGATGTATATAGAAAAACTTTATAATCGTCTTGTGTCACGTAATTGATTATTGATTTTCTTATTCATTCATCTCTCTTACTCGTTTTCCTTTTTTTCCATTTTTATTTCACTTCACTTTAAGTGTATAAATATGCTCGTATCGACATGCAGGTGTAAAAATAACACAAGAAGGAGAAGCTTGTTTTATGTGCCTTATTTTCTTCATCTTCAGACACCTTAAAGATTCTCTTTACATTTACAATCTTTAGTGCAGAGTTGTTGCTGTTTTAAGAGAATATTTCTTGATGATTTTGATCATATCAGCATACAAAGGATAGATGCTCGAAGGAAGGTTAATGAATGCTTAAGGATAATATCAATTTTTGGAAATTAATTGAGGGTTGATAATACTTTTTATCTATGGAAAGGTTTGTTTTGGATGTCTCTATTATTTTAATTTGGCTAGTTAAGGCTAGGATAGAAATCTAATATTTTATTTTCAAAGCATTTAGGTTATGGACTATGCTTGACCCAGGAATTTTTTTAAATTTTTTTAAAATCGTAGCTTTGCATTTTATCAGATTGCTTTTGGTTATAAGCTGCGTTTTCAACTAAAATATGATATTATCCCGAATGGCACAAGTAAGTTTATTGATCATAAATCCGGCACCAAGCCGGTATGACTCTGGTATGATGCTGAATTTAAATCGAAGCATCTAGCATCATGTCAGAGTCATGCCGGATTTCAATTTGATTAATCAATTTGTGCTATTCAAGTACGTTCTTATAAGCTTAAGGAGGCTTAAGGAAAGGCATAGACAGGAATTTGACATCTTCAAATCTCTAGCAGAATGAAAAAATTTCCTTTAATGAATGTGGATTTATGGCCCAATTTTAGGGCGATTGGTTTGACTAAGCGCTTGCCTTAAGGATGTATTTGTCAATATTTCTGATAGTATATGAATGTTTATGCTACAAATTAGAACTCCAAACAAGCAATGAAAACAGATTCCATCGGACCTTTCTTCTATGGCTACATCCCTGAATGTTGGTTTTCAGAGTATAGATCAGTGTTGTCCAAACTTACATCATTCATTTTATCTAGTGCAAAATCTACAAATTTCTGAAAACTACCTATTTTTGGGATTTTTAATATTTTTCCACGGTACACCTAAGGATGTCCTATGGCACACAGTTTGGACAGCACTGGTTTAGATAGACGAGAAAATTAGGATTAACTTTGAAGGAATTGATTTTGATGATTTTCTCATAAATACCACAAAGCATCTAATCCTTCATTCTTTTTGATGCATCAACCCTGTCTTAAAATTGCCCTTTAGTATGTTAATTCTTCTTCAAACATTTTCTTCACTTTGATTTTCGAGATACATCCAAGAGACGATGATGAACATTTTCTTGTTTCCTCTCTACTTAAAGCTTAAATCTTATGCATACTTTACAGGCATTTCTGCGAATTTTGTATTAAATGTTTTATATATATTTTTTTTTTTGTACTTTATATGGATGAAGACATAATTCGATAAAAGTAATGAGGATTAGATGCGAGAAGATATTTTTAAGAAAATTATGAATGACAAGCATCACGACATGATATTAAAGAATTAAATCCGCGTAAGGTGTTAGAGGAATTATTGGAAAAAAATTATTTTAAGCATCTTTAAATATTTTGAGGATCATTGAACGAAGCTTCGTTTAAACATTGTAGAATCTGATAATTCAGATGAACAGATTTAGGTTAATAGAGCTTTTTTTGATTCAATGAACTTCACATCAGTGCTATTGACAGAAATTTTTGCTTTTATCGTTTGAGGAATGAATTATGGAACATTTTAAAAATTATGGAGAGTTTATTGAATTTTTTGTTGCTTACATTAACGTAATGGTATTTCCTGGTCTTTGAAAAAGGGCTAGGGGTTAGAGACGGGGAGGGTCTGTTCTTTGTATGAATTTATTTTGAATATTTTGCAGATATTTCTAAATAAAGCTCAATTATTTCAAAAATCTTCAATCAAATCAGGAAACAAAATTAGCCTTTAAAGCTCAAAAACGTCTTAAACCCTCTTCAAGAAGCCCCACATGCCTAATTTATTCACTCATAAATTTATCTCAAGAGCCTGAGTTTGCGATTTTGCTTTCACTTTTCTCGGAAATCAAAATCGGATTATCATCATTAACTTCCTTTTCCTATCCATTATATTCAGCATTAAAAATGATTTTAAGTAAATCTAATTTTCCAATGTAAAATCAAATAAGTCATTAAAATTCAATGTTTTCCTCATTAATCGGATATTTTAACAAGAAAAAAAAAATAAGCTAAACGAGAAAGTAACCCAGAGATAAACTTTGAACTTTTTCAAGGCTCTCTGTTGAGAATTCTATCTAATAAAGTGTAGGAAGTTAGATATCATACATATCAACGTTTGCTCGTGTAGGCGTAGCATTAAGGCACTTGGCTTTGAAACATTATTGAGGCAGAAGTTTAATATTTAAAATTACAAAACTAATTGAACAACTAAAGAATTTTTAAATTCATTAAATTAAAGTAAGGTGTTGTTCTCACAGAGTCGTAATCCAAGAAATGACAACTCCTCTTTTGTGACATGATGGAACCCAGTTTTTGATAGAATCAATTCATGAACAACATCTCAAATTGATTTGCTTTTTAAGCATAAATAACAAAAAATGAATTAAATCATGCATATTTAAATGGCTGACTTAAATTACAGGTGAGAAGCTAAATGCTTAATATAAAAATGCATCATATTTCATGATTTATTCAATTGCACATTGAAGCTTACACTTGAGCTACTAGCTTTTAATAACTCATCAAAACAGCAATACGAATTTCATGATTTTTCAGGAGGGGGGGGGGGGGGGGGGGTACAGAACAAAAATTGCTAAGAAAAAAACCCAAAACTGTTTACTGTGATGAAATTTCCAAGTACTCTACTTTGTATTGGAAAAAATTGTTGAAAAATGAAATTTTCGCAATACTTCCTTCCGATGCAGTTTATGACCAAAAGTTTGATTGGAACTGATGAGAATCATGATTTAAGACCTTTTGACATCTAAAAATTTCTACTTGGATGCTTTAGTTCCTTTAAAATTGACTTTTTCAATTTCGTTTGTGGAGTACTTGGAAATTTCATCACAGTAAACATTTTTGGGTTTTTTTTTCTTAGCAGTTTTTGTTCTGTAAACCCCCCCCCCCCCCCCCCCCTGATGATTTTAATAATATGAAAATTCTAATGTGATATTTTGTAAGCGTGCTGATTTTATATCTCAACAACTAAACCATAGCGTAATTTTATTTTTGTATTTATCAAAGGCAGAGGAGCATCAAAGGTTTTTTCATTTGGTGTCCTGAACTTTAATTTTGCAGGAATACTTTAAATCCAGGCTCGGAAACTAGGCAGTATTTAAAGGTAATTCATATAAAGAGGTGGTATTTGGGGGATATTTGGTGGTATTTATATGGAAGTTGGGGGTATTTGGCGGTATACCACCTAGTTTCCGAGTCTGGCTTTAAACTTTATCTGTTCAGAGTGGATCAGACCTTAAAATCCAGAGCTGTGATTGATCTGTGGTACAAGGCTTATTATAGTTTAACAAGAGAGGGTTTGCCAGACTTTCCGCTCAATTCTAGACCTATAGTTTACAGTGGGATCAGAAAGTCTCCATTTCTGCCTTTAGTTTATAAATTAAGGCTGTGCGCATCATTTTCAATACATATGATTCCAAAAAGGACATGCAAAAAATTTCCCATGCCGAATCTCGAACCCATAATCGCTGTGCCAATATTGCAATAATTAGGCATCGAAGTACTAAATCAATTCGCTATAGAGCTACTTCAGCACGCTTACATTCTCTAATTTTCCCACAGAAAACAAGATGCCTGTTGAAAGCTCAAATTTGATATCATTTCCATTAGCTGATAATTTTCCTCGTTAAGATAATTTTTGCGTGTCTGGCATAAAATTCTAAATTTGGCCCAAACCTCCATCCGATATCATCTTGTTTAAGTTTAACATTCAAATTATCTGTGAAGATTTGGCACACAAAAAAAAAATTGCAAAATAATCCTCTAAAATTTCCTGCTATTTATTTAACGAAAACCAAAAACGGTTTCGATTGACAGAACCACGCACAAAAAACGAGATAGAGAGCGAATCTAAAAGAAATATCAAATTTAGCGTAAAAGCATGCCAGTACATACCTATAACAGTTAAATTAATACGATGATTTCTCGTAGGAGAATTTTGAAAGTCAACTCGACAGCGATAAACCTGTGAATGAGATATAAAATATACGAATATAGATACTGATAGCTCTATGGATTGGAAAAACACATAAAAAATAAACCATGAATGGTGGATATAACCGCACACCAAAAAAAAAAAAAATGAATGAAAATTTACATATTGGACTACTTACGCCTTCATCGTCGAGCTGCACGTTATCTACACTTAATGTTGCTGGTTTTGATACTGTTAAAAAATAAGCTCTCGGACCAAAAGCGTTTGTGTCCGACCAATAAAGTGCTTTTGAGAAAGCTCTTCCGCGAACATCGAAACTGCAATAAGAGATTAATGGAAACATTTTTAGATATTTATATTAAAGATGAAGGTATGGATTGATGTTGTTAAATTTATATGAGATCAGGGGAACCTCGGATGTGCACAAGAATAAATAAACATTGACATTAGACTTAAGAATCATCAAAAAATTCAGAGAATCAAGCCTACCAAAGATTAATCCCTCTACCCACCAATCCAAATAATTCATTCACTTTGCAACAATTTGATGTAATATTTTGCAAATAAAAATAAGCATTCTGCCTCATTTATTTTGCAAAAGATTACTCTGAAAATCCATAATATTCACAGAAAAAAAAAAAAATTGTAGCAAGAGAACAAGCGCAAGCAAGAGAGAGTGAGAAATTTTATCACGAGTTGTGCGTTAAAATTTGATTAAAAATTCATTGATTCAATTTAGCGTAAATGTACTGAATTTCCATCGAATCAATATAATATCTCTATAGCTTCAGTGGTTCTCAAACACTGCAATTTGCTTCATGGCACATTTTTCTCCTTAAATTATTCACGGTTCTCTTGAATAGTCACGCGGCAGCCTAAACTATTTTAATAATCTTTTTAAACTTGGAATTCGTGTGCCGCAGGACAAAGTTTAAGAACCACTGCTATAGATTGTAAAAACAGGGAAGGCAATAAGGTGAAAAGGAAATAAATAAAGTGATCGTTTTTTTTTTTGCTTTTTCGCCTCTTCATTAAGTACAGAAATTGATTTATCGACGAGAGGCTATTTGTTGATAATGAGCTACAACTTTTTTACCCTCCCCCACCACCTCTCGATTTCATCGAATGGCAAAAGTATAAAATTTTACAAGCATAAACCCAAACCTATAACACACAAATTCTCTTGTGTATGTGCGTCGCTTAAGTCAGCAAAAAAAAAAACACCAACAAACTTTTTTCTTTCTTCCCATTACCACAGCTATCAATGAGCGGAAGACACAAATAATGACATCGTAGAAAATGTCTTGTGATAGAGGGTGAGAGGAACAGAGCAGAATAGAAAAAAAGTTTTTGTGTCGTTCGTTATTTAGCGCTTAATAAGATCATTTTATCATCACATCGGATATATAAATATTTTCATTATTAATTACACTCTAATCATTTTTCATTCATTACCATGAATAACGATGGGAGATAGAATGAGCATTAAATTACATAAACATTAACTTCCATTAAGCATAAATGATAAATTTAATTTACATCGTTTTATTTTCTATTTCTACACTTTTTACAGCAGCATACAAATGAATGTCGTCGTTCAGTTTCTGCTATAGTTGTTGCTGCTCCTGATAGTGCTCATGGAAAATTTTTGAGACATGACAAAAATTTATTTGCAACATTATTTTTTGTGCTCATTGGACTCGCTGCTAAATCATTATTTTGACAGAATTTCTGTAGAAATTTTTCTTATGGTAAATAATTTTTGAGTTTTGAGGAATGTGGATTGAACTTAGTTTATATATACTCTAGCTCAGGCTAGTTTCTACGGCTTCTTGGGGCATCGGGGAATCAAAACTCGATAAATTCCATTTTAGTTGAAATAAGTCAGGCTCGGAAACAAGGCGGTATACCACAAAATACCGAAACTTCTGTAAAAATACCCTCAAATACCGATAAATACTCTAAAACCGGCCAAATACCCCAAAATACCGCTAATTACCGCCTAGTTTCTGAGCTTAGGAAATAAGAGCCTCTGGTAATCTTAGAAACTTGCCCTAATCTCGTTTTGCCTTAGAAACTGAATCCTCTAAACCTCAATTTTTTACAACATCCAAAAAGTAACCCCATCCAACTTCCTTACTCCTTAAAAATTGAAAAATCTCCTTCCATAAAATCCTAACTATGCATCTAAAGGATTTTCCCCAAAAACTCTCAAATAACTTAGCAGAACTTAGCAAAATGACATAAGAATTATGAAGTACGTGACAAAATGTATTATTCAACAATAATTTTACCCTACAGGATGCGTCTTAAAATATTCATAACTTTCACACTAATAATTTATTTTTTGACTGCTGACTGACGTTCATCTCTTCTTTTCGCATCTCATCTATTGTTGTTTTCCATCTCATCATTTTATTTCTACTGCCTTCACTTTCCCTATCGCACTCTCAAAATATTCGCAAGGCAGCAAATGAATTATGCGATGAATGAGAAATTGTCATAAAGGAACGAGCCAAAAGTGTCTATCTCACTCATTTTCCAACCCTTTTTTACAGCTTTTATTTGCCTCTCTTTTCATTCATCTATTGCCAGATGAAGAAAAAGTATTTTACTTTTTTCGACAAACGTTTCCGCGCGCGTTTTGTAAACTTTATTGTGAGTCATAAAAAATTATTCTTTATACATGCTACTGGCATGTTGGAATAAAACTGAATACCACAAATGAATATTTAGGACTGTGCCATGTTTCTTCACTACGCTGACTTTCTCATTTTAGTGTAATAAATGTGTTGTAGAATAAAAATGCTAGTTTGAGGTTAGGAATAGCTTAAGGAGCGCTTTTTTTGGGGGGTTGAAGTTGTGACATGACAATATGGACAGGATGCAAAGTTGAGGATAACTTATCTTCTATGCGATGAACATCTTTTTGGCTAGCTTGTAACATGACATAGATATTAAAATGATAAAGCACTCAATGCTCAATCCCGACTAGTCATTCGCCAGCTATTATCATGGCTAGAGTCTCAAATGCTATAAGATGATACACAAATACAGTTCTCAAAGCTGCTTTTGACTCTTAAGATAAAGCGTCTGGCTTCTATTCTACTTTAGACTTCTAAAGTCTACTCTCAGGATCATAGGATATTGGTTGTTGTTTCTAGAGTGATTAAAGGGTATGATGCTTTAATTAGCTATAGAAACGGCCCACTGAAGTCAGAAGAAGCCGAATATACAACAGTCAAAAATATTCCAAGTCATAACCCAGCCAACCATAATGCCACTTCCTCAAAACCTCAGTCAAACAATAAAATTCTCTTCCATAAAAATTTAACAAAAATTTTTGCTCCAATGAATGTTTATGGCCAGTTATTAAAGCATTTGTTCTTTTTTTTCCCTTCTATCTTATAAATGTTATATTGTTGTATATGAGCACATAGCATGCCCATGATAAGGTAAAGAGTTGTAAAAAGAAATCTCAACCGTAACACAGCAAATGAGGTTACAAGTCGTATTGTTTGTGAAATTATTATGATGGCTTAATGAATTACAAGGATAGTGAAAAAAAAAATGTTTTTAAGGACTCTCTTGAGAGACGTGACGAGGAATTAAGAAGAAAAGGTTGTACGTTTATGGGTGAAATTATTTTATAAATGGTGGTGTAATTGGAGACGCTTAAGCGTGTCAGGATTTATGGGGATCAACTTTAATTTATGGCCTTAAAAATTGTTCGCAGTTAAATTAATTTTTGAGCTTCACGTTTTAAAGAAGTTTGTAGGATGAAAGTATTTCCATGGTAAGATTCAATTTTGTTTGACGCAAACTCTTCTCCGCCTTTTTTTACTTTACATTGTTGTATAATTGAAATTTCATAATGTCAATTTTTTTGTGTCCTCGAGCAACAATTACTCAACTTTTAAGGTAACATTCATTCATGATTCCATAGTGATAACCCTTTCAGTTCCAATGAAATTATGTTTTGAAATGTCACAGTCGTCAGCCCAAAAAATTTGAGTCTCGTAAAAAATTTTTATTTTTAGATCTTGACATTTCAGGCATTCAAACTGTCCAAAAGTTTAAATATTTTTTTTTTGTTCCTATAGCTATGGCTGAAAATATTTTCATTTCATATAAACTTCTCACATTTCACATTCATGAATATTTCTCGTCATATTATATTTATCATCATTTATAATTCTCTTGATAAACATCCATGAGCTTTATTTAATGTACTCGAAAAATGGAAATGTTATAATGTTATGAAAATTGCAAGAATTATGAGAAATGACAGTTGAGCATAATGTTAAGTGCTACTCCAACAACTATATCATAATTTTAACCGAGTTATATGGAAGTGTGACACATTTTCATATCAAATGTAACAATCATCGCGAACTTCCCGTAATTTTTAACCTTTCTTGGTTGGTTCTTTTTTTCTCATTCATAGGCGATAATGGAAAGCTTTCTGATTTTGAGTTTTAGATCGGTGAGGACATAAGACGAATTTTTTCATACGAAATTCGACAAAATTTGAGTCCACTCAGGGGGAAAACTACTTGATAGGTAAAAAAACGGAAATTTTCCATCAAAAATGGTAAAAAAGCGTTTAAAAATGGAAAAATGTAAAATTCTCATTTTTACTTTTTTACCATTTTTGCAATTTTTTTAACCTTTTTTACCATTTTTTACCATTTTTTCCCCATTTTTTTAAACCTTTTTTACCATTTTTTTACTATTTTTTCTCATTTTTCTGAGTCAATTTCAATGATTTTATTTGGTGGAACCAGATATGCACGTCACAAGTGAATATACATTTAATATCTAACCCGAAAATCAAGTCGTACGACTCTGACCGGCCAAATTTACACTAGCTTGGTCGGACTTCTTATCGATTAACCGACATGTGTCATTCGGGTAATATCCTTAAATATCACATATATTCAACAAACAAGTAAATCCAGCAATTTAATCAGACAGTCAGATAGACACAATCCTAAAACACGCACCTAAACGCCCTTTTAATCTCCACAAAAGTTATTCTTCCTACATTTAAATAAAAGTATTACAAGCAAAATTTATCGCACATTATATGCTTTTAAGCTTCTTTCTTGCTTTTCAGAAATTAAAGTAATTAATTTTAATCAATAATTAATTCATAATCCATTATTCATGCCCTTCCTTACCTATACAATGGCTTTCCCGCGCTTTCACGAAACCATAGCACCATATATACTCGATCATCACGCGCTTCTGGTCCGGGATCAATATCGCATGGTAGTGTCGCTGTTCTCCCGAGAACTGCTTCTACTGATACTGTTGAAACTGTAAAATAAAATGAAAAAAATTTAAGAACATTTAAATTTTGACATTATAATAATTTTAATGCTGTTGCTATATGAGACAAATGTACATCAGCAAACTACTGATAAATGCAGACATTTCATTCACATTTTTTTCCATTACGCTAATTCATTTTCCCTATGGCAATGATTCTTGAAGATAAAAAATGAGTTCAAGTCACCAGCAAATGCATTCCACCCGCTGCTTTCATTGCTTACATATAGCATCATTCCCCACGACTTTCTCGGTGACACAAAATGAAAGAAAAGAACTAGCAAGAAAGAAAAAAGAAAGCAAAATTGTTTGCTGATGTGATAATAAATTGAAACAATCAACTGCAATTTCTGCAAAGTTACAAGAGCATCTCCCCAAATGGGATCTGAAATTGTCACTTAAAATCTCTTGGAGACAATCAAGCGCTTAAATTTATCTTTACGGAAAAGAGACTGTCTCAAGTGATACATTTGTGTAGTGTGAAACAATTTTCCTAATGTGTCCAAAAGGTGTAAGTATGTGTGTATGTTATGCGAAAAAAAATGAATTTATACGTCTTCATTTCCACTTCCGAGTTGTTTCTTTTGATGACTTCCGTGCGAATGGATTTAATAGGAATTTCGTGTTGAAATGTTGTCGATTTGTTGATGTTGATAGTTTCCTTTAAAAGACTGAGATGGATTGATGTTATGGCTGCAAAGTTGAGGGTTTCTCAGAATTGTTTGTTTCCATCAATTTCTATGTCTATTCTTAAACTGTAGCACAGACTAAAAAAATCAATAAATTCACCATGTTCGTCTCGAAAATGGAGCAAAGCAGGTCAAGATACCTTTCGAAAATTTAGAAAACAAATTAATTCAGGCACACACATGGAAGTGTTCACACATTTACTCTCGGTAGTTCTTTTGTTTTTTGAGACTAAATTTTCCCATTGTGAAGATCACATGTGTATGACTAAAGGAACTTAAAGACGGAAAGGTCTTATGGGGAATATAAAGTAACACATCAGCTAGAGAAAGAAGACAGGAAAGAGGAAAAGGAAAAAAGGAATTGAGAATGAGATATATGCGAAGACGATGTGAAGATGAAAAATAAAAATGAAATCTTTATTTGACACCAATTCAAATAAACGATTGCTATTTTATGTATCATGAAAAATGGACTCAATATTTCTTTCCAACAAATACAAATTTTCTATTTTTGTTTCTTACTTTTGCCCTTTTTGAACTTTCGTCTATTTTGGAAAAAAGTTTTATTTTCTTTTTTTGTTCTTTTTAGCTGTTTTCTGTATAAAAAAGTTTTAGAAAGTGATTGATTCATAAGATGGTAATTGCTTTTCGTTTCTTGGACTATAAATTTTTATAGTAATTTGCTACTTTTTCTTCCTCGTTATTCTTAGAATGCACGACTGATACAAGACCTTTTTCTATCGAGAATTATGACTTGGCATTTGTTGGCAAATGGTCGGTTTTGTCTGATTACGAATCACAGTTTTAAAAGGTTTTAACAAGGAAAATGATCTTCAAAACTTAAAAAGATTTTTCTAAAGTCACATATTTTCATTAGCAGTTGGATTCGTCTAGCTAGAGATTTTCTGCATGCGACTTTGGTAATGGCTTCCTCTTGAGGTTTGCCGTGGCTCAAAATTTTTGGACAACACTGATTTAATCTTTCAAGTGCGGTTTAAATTTTAGTTTAGGTTCAAAAAAATTGAAATTTTAAAGAAATTTTCCAGGCTCGAAATTTATGCGGTATTTTAAAGGTCGTATTTGGAGGTATTTATAAAGAAGTGCGGTATTTAGCAATAAACAGCCCTGTTTCCGAGTCTGGAAAAATTTGATCTCAAGAGAGGAGGGGGGGGGGGGGGGGGGGGGGGGTGGTGCTCAACTTGAGTTTATTTGAAGTGACCCATGTAAGCTGATTATTTGGTTACATTTTTCAGTCACTTCTTTATTTTTTTTCCGGGTTCGTCAAATGATCGATTAAGGATTTGATCGAAAATCGGATCGGAGATCGAGTTGATCAGTGATTTTTTATATTCACACCATTTTCACGTGTGAATCTATTGGTTTTGTTCAGATTGAAAAATCAGTTTTTGTGAGAAAACGAAGCAAAATTGGTTGTAAAAGGTCTTAGAAGAAAAGTTTGTGCCTGAAATTTAACATCATTTGCAAAAAACAGATTTCGAATTGGTTGTGGCATTGCTGAGAAAATCTCAAAATACGCTTTCTGTAAGCAAACAAACAAGCAAGCAAGTTAATCAGCAAGAAATCTCAATAACGAGACATCGTAGAGACTTCTAGTTTTTTACATTTGATCCGTGATGCTCTATAGAAGAGCTGTATTGTTTTTGGGCAAGGTAGGAACAGCCGTTGCTTCAAAAAAAGCAAAAAACCTTCCTTTCTTACGATTTTTTTTAAAAACAAAAGTTCACTTTCATTTTTATAAAGTTCAACTTTGGATGAAAAATTTTTTTAAAACTTTTAAAGAATGTTCGTTAAGCTTATGCTGAGCTAAGCTCAGCTGACACGCTAGCTTTATACCTTCAAACTTATGCTGTGCAAACCTTGGTCTATCCATAAGACTTTTGATGGTAGGGTGTGAATATATCCGCATGGGGTTTCTACCCGATACACTAATTTGATCGTATTTTGAATAAGATCTTCACGATCAATGATTGATTCGAAATGCGAATTCTTGGACTAGGCTAATGATTATTATGTCTTTAATTGATGAAACCATCTTTAACTCTAATACAATTTGTAAAAAAATCAAAGTTAATTTTAGATTCCGTAAAAGATGTGATCAAATAATATCTTCAGATTTAAATTTTCAGAGTTGAGACTTAATAATTAAATTCAACCTTTAATAAGCTTTAAAATTATTAAATTGATATTGCAGTATTTTTGCATAGTCATACATTTGCAAAGAGTCACATAAATCTTTCTTACTTGTCATTCAATAAATAAAATAAAAAAATCATTTTCCTTTATTTCTCTCTGGGGCTGTTCACTTATTACGTAACGCAAAAAAATGACTTCTTAGACCCCCCCCCCCCCCCCCCCCCTAGTAATAAAATTTGTATGAAAAAAAAAATTCCTTGTTTGAATCGTAACAAAATCTTAGACCCCCCCTCCCCCTAAAAGCGTTACGTAATAAGTGAATGGCCCCTCTCCTAATAATATTATTTTTATATTTTTTCGAAAAAGAAATTCCTCAAGTTATTTGTTAGAATAATGGATTTAATCTCAAATGGAATCGAGAAAGCTAGTGTAGCTGAACATTATTCAAGAAAAAGGAAATAAAAAGTTCCTCTACACACACATCCATACATTTTCATCTCATCTCTTTAAACTATGAAGAATGATAAATCATTTTTTCTTTCTGTTTGTTTAGTGATACAAATAAGGTCGCCTTTGGGAAAATCCTCAACGTTTTCTTTTTTACTGCTGGCTTCTTTGCCTTCATTATTTATGCTGAAAAGATCACTAAACTAGAATGAAACAAATATGTCCATTGAGCTATGTAAATTTCATTTCTGTTTTCCTTTTTTAACCTCTCTCGATAGTCTTTCTTGTCTATTTCCATTTTTTTAAGCAGAATGTTTAGGCTAAATTATCTTGGGGAAAATTCTTTTAAACTTCCCTTTCCTTCTTCATCATCTTATAGCTTTTTATATTTTTTCATCATCTTCTATATTCTATTTTCTTAAAGTAAAAATCTCTCATAATTCATTCATTAAATGGCAAAAAAGAGTTCATTAATTTTGATAAACTGTTGATGATACTCAAATTAAAAAGTATTTGTGGAGCTTTGAGGATTCTTCGAAGGATTAGGATTTTGATGCTCTGTTGTTAGAGATGGGAAGAGATGTTTTGAATAATTTTGATGTCATTATGGTACTATTATGATTTTTCATGGGAATAATCATTCATTAAAAATATTCTTGCCTTATTTTTTTGTTGGCCATAAAAATCATGGTTGTTGTAGACAAGAGAGTTTAGGCAGATGCCTGTTGTGAATTTTAGTGGAAAATATTAAACTTGTCTACATTTTCTCTTGCTTGAGATTATAAATTTTAGGTTTATGTGAGAATGTGTTTTGAAAGATACAGGAGAATGATGGGAGTCAAGTTAGGGATGACTACTTGAGCTACTTTAATTGCTGAATAGTAAAACGAGATAGGAGAGGATCTCAATAGATTGAATTAGGCTCTTTTTGGTCAGATATGGCTTTTAAGAGTCTAATAAGGTTCTTTTTGTATTGTATCAAGCTTTTGAGGAATGCACAAGCCTTTTCGTGAGTCAAATGGCTTATTTGGGTCTGTTAAGGCTATTTATGGTTAAAAAATGGTTTGTGAGAGACAAATAAGGCTCGCCTGACTCAACTAGGGATCTGCAGGATCTAAAATCTTTCTTCAGAGTCAAACAAGGTTTGGCTGACTAAACTAAAGTTCTTCCTTGTCAAAAATGGCTTTGAAGAGACAAATAAGTTTCACCTGACTTCACCAGGGCTCTGAAGGGCCGAAAAAGGCTCTTCAAAGTCAGACAAAGCTCGCTTGACTCAATTAAGGCTATGTAAGGTCAAAAGCGACTACTCTGAGTCAAATAAAGCTCACCTGACTAAACCAGGGATCTGCAGAATCAAAAAATGCACTTTAGAGTCAAACATAGCTATCCTGAGTCAACGACGTCTCTGCAGGGTCAAAAAAAAGCTCTTCAGAAACAAATAAGGCTCGCTTGACTTAACTAAGGCTATGTAGGGTCAAAAAAGACTACTATGAGTCAGATAAGGCCTGAACCATGGCTCTTCAGAGTCAAAAAACTCTTTTGAATTTTATTCATCACTCCATAAGCGTAAGTAAATAGTATTCCATCACTATATTTACTTCCTATAAAATCCTTTCAAACTTTAAACATTGCCTATAATTAATCACAGTCATAATGAAAGCACAGCGCTCTTTTGAATTGAAATAACTATAATTAGAA